TCTGCTCTTCAATACTTTAAAAAGTTCCTGTGCAGCAGATTTGCCCAAGATCTCTTTATAAAGTGTTAAATAGCAAAGATGTCAGTGTGAAGACTTAAGGCTCACCTGACCCAAACCACAATATTTTTCATAGCCTTATATACATGTAAAAGGTGGACAGTAAATTAGGAGGACCACAGAAAAATTGGTGCATTTGAATTGTATTGTTGGAGAAGAATATTGCCAGAACAACAAACAAATCTGTGTCGGAGGAAGTACAGCTTTTAGAAGTCAGAATGATGAGACTTTGTCTCTTAAATTTTGGATATATTGTTAGGAGGCACCAATCCCTGGAGAGAGGGACATCATGCTTGGCAAATAGAGGGGTCAGTGAAAACAAGAAAGATCCCAGTGGATGAATTAACATAATGGCAACAACAGTGGACCTAAACGTAACAGTTGTGAGAATGACGCTGGACTAGACATGATGTTAGGGAAATTTTCTTCCAACAGCTCTTTGATCATTTTCTCTGGGCTTTTTATTGCCTTCTCCTGTTCTTCATGGTGTCCCAGATAACTCTTTGGATTTTTTTCATCCTTTTCTGATTGTTCTTTTAGTATACCAGTATTGAGAATTTTATCTTCAATTTCACTAATTCAGGCTTCCATTGTTTCAAATCTACTCCTTTGCCCTCTATGTATATTGTCCATTTCTGAAATCTTAGTATTAATCTGGATTTCTAATTATAGGTTTAGTATTATTTCAAAATTCATATTTATTTTGTATAGTATATTCTTGTAGTGTTTTCCTGAATACGTCTTAAATGTTTTCTGGGTTGTCCTTGCTTTCCTCAATCTTTCTGTCCATTCTTTGAAGGTACTTAAATATCATTCTTTTGAATTATTTTTCTGTTAACAGTGGGTTTGGATGAGGGTGGGAACCTGCTCTGCCAGACCACCTTCTGCTGCATCTCGCTGACCCATTTGCCAGTCATTCTCTCCTCTCTCACCATCCTGCTCAGCTTCTCCTCCCAGTAAGCACTCAGTCCACTTCTCTAACCTTTTCTCTGAAATTCAGGGTTCCTGAATTTGTGTGTCTATTTATTTGGCTTCTCATTATCTTTGTTGTAGAGGGTCAGTGTAGTGGGTCTACCTAGTCCACCATCTTGCGGGCAGTTCTGGTCCACATTTTCATCCACTATTTAGGACCTTCTAATGTGATCCCCTTTCAGAGCAATTGGTGGTTTTAGCCAGGCACCATCTAGTTCTTGTAGTTTCAGGGTTGTAGAGGCTGATTATCACATGGCACCCTAGTTCATTGCCTGTGATTTTCTCTACTTGTATTTTCTCTAGATGGGGAGAGACCAGTTGTTACACCTCAGACGGTCACTCATGAGATTTTAAGATGCCAGTTGCTACTCACCAAAGTAGGATATAAAGGATTGTCTTTGTGGACTGTGTTATGTGAATTGACCTTGACTTCCCATGGGACTATGATCCTGGGTCCCCAGGCCCAGCAGCTCATTCCCTCATTGCCAACTTCTTTTACATGTGGATATCCAGCACCATTTGTTAAAAAGACTGTTTGTCTTGGCCCTCTAACTTGTCAAAAATTAGTTAACCATAAATTTGGGGGTTTGTTTCTGGACTCTCAGTTTTGTCTCATTGATATCACTGTCTGTTCTTGTGCCAGTACCACAACTGTCTTGAATTTTGAGGCTTTATAATAAGTTTTGAATTCAGGACGTGTGAGTCCTCCAACTTTGTTCTCTTTTTCAGGCTTGTTTTCCTATTCTGGGTCCCTTGCATTTATGTATGAATTTTATTATGACATTGTCATTGGTTTCTGCAAAAAAATCTACCTTAGATTTTGATAGGCATTGCTTTGAGTACACAGTTCAATTTGGAGAATATTGCTGTCTTAAAAATACTAAGGCTTCCAACCCATGAACCTGAGTCCTGATGTGGCGCTATACGATAAGCACTGGACTGCTAACTTACAAGGTCAGCAGTTCAAACCACCAGCCACTCCTCAGAAACCCTACACAGGGTCACTATGAGTCGAAACCAACTTGACATCACTTAACAACAATCCATGAACATAATGTCTTTATTTTCCTCTTTAATGTCTCACAGTTTTTACAGTATACATTTTACACTTTAAGAAATTTATTCCTGAATATTTTATTGTTTTTGATGCTATTATAAATAGAATTATTTTCTACACTTCATTTTCAGATTGTTCATTGCTAGTGTGTAGAAGTTCAGTAGATTTTTATATATTGTTCTTAATATGCTGTACCCTTTCTGAAATAGTTGGTTAGTCCCAATAGTGTTTTAGTGGATTGCTTAAGCTTTTTATATTCAAGATCATATCATCTGCAAAAAGAGTTTGCATCTTCCTTCCCAATGTAGATGCCTTGTTTGTTGTCATTTTCTTGCCTACTTGCTCTGTCTAGAAGCTCTGGTGCAGTGTTGAATGAAAGTGGTTAAGAATGAACAGTATTGTGTTTCCTATCTTAGGGGGGAAGCATTAAGTCTTTCACAGACTTGTTTTTTATAAGTGCCCCTCTTTGGGTTGACGTTTTCTTTAGTCCTAGTTTGCTGAGGCTTTTTTTTTTTTTTGGTGACTTTTTAGATTTTGTCCAATGCTTTTTCTGTATCTGTTTATATGATCATGTGCTTTTATTCGTCTACCAGTTCGGTATTGCTATGACTGGTCTTTGGATATTAAATCAACTTTGCATTCCTGAGATAAACACTCCCACTCCACTGAGCTCCACTGGGACTGGGGCTGTGTTATGCTCACCAGTGTTCCCAGGGCTCTGTTTCACAGTAGACACTTAACAAAGATTTGTAAAATAAATGAAAAAAGTAAGCCAGTATAAAATGATTGGAACCACCTTGGTCTCTCACCCCTCCCCTTTTTACTGAGTCTTAGTTGAATGAAGCAAGCTGGACCCACCCAGGTGGGGTGCACAGATGTTCTCTGAGGCCAGGACCCAGGGGTGCAGGGAGCTGACATGGTCATTCCCTCATTCAGGTCTTCTCTCCATGGCCAACTCTGGTCCAAACACCAACGGCTCCCAGTTCTTCCTGACATGTGACAAGACCGACTGGCTGGATGGCAAGCATGTGGTATTTGGGGAGGTCACTGAAGGCCTGGACGTCTTGCGACAGATTGAGGTAGGTGACCAGGACACCTCCCCACCAGCCTGGTGGGAGATCTGAGGGGACAGCTTCCAGTGGAGGTGTGGGCAGGTGAGGGTGGGTACCCTAAGCAGCTCTTTCTCTCCCCACCTCCTCCCCTCTGATTGCCCCTCTTCTGTTCTGCCCAAAGGCCCAGGGCAGCAAGGATGGGAAGCCAAAGCAGAAAGTGATCATCTCTGACTGTGGAGAGTATGTGTGATCCAGTGTACGCTCTGCTCTGCCCCGGTGTGTCCAGGGGAACATGCAAGGTGCCTCTGCGGGTGTCCCTTTGAAGAAGCAGCTGTATTTGTACCATGAGCCCTTCTTGGAGACAACTGGGAACAGCTCCTCTGCAGGTACAGCTTGGTTCCTCCAAGATCCTGGCTGTGGGTCCGAGGAGCCAGCGAAGGAGCTCACCCTCCCCACCATGGGCAGTCTGGACGGTCTCCGGCTTCACTGGGCCTTTACTGCCAGGACTTCTCTCAGGCCTCTTAGGACGTTTTTCTCTAGTATAATAAATCCTAGTTTTTGTACTGCCACCTGCCACCTGCTGACTGAGTCCTAGATATTTTCAGAGGTTGCAGCTGTTATTGGGCTGTCTGCCTGGACATGGCGACAGCACCACCTGTGAGCCAAGTCTCTGAGGAGACAAGTGTGGTGGACCATTGCAGGGCAGTGGAAGTCAACCAATGCAAAATGACCTCTGTCTCTGGCTGACGGAACACTTGCATGGCAGCAAGACGGACACCAGCCAGACACCCAAACCCTGAGGTGAGGAGTGCACAGGTTGAGTCAGCCAACCTTGACTCCAGCTGCTCCTCAGACAGGCCCAGGTCAGCTATAGACTGGGCCAGCATTGGCCAAGGACAGGTCCCTGAGATAGGACGTCCGGTGCTGATCCCTTCAGCTCATGCATCCCCAGCTACTGCTTTCCTTAGGCCTGCCAGGTTTGGGAAGGACACACTGCCACACACCACACGGGAAGTGGGGCAGAGGGTCTTGGAGAGGACCAGAACTCTTGCAGGAAGTGGGCAGGGGATGTGCTGACCTCTAAGGGCTCTCTCTCTCCCACCCCTGCCTGAGCTGTGACCACACTTGAAGTTTTCTTGGCTGAAGAGGAGGCTGATTGGGTGGGACTGGAGGCCGCAGCAGGCACATATGGGTGTGGCCTCATTCAGTGGCAGCCACAGGCCTTGACCACCATGTTGCGGTGCTTGCGCAGGATGACGTTGTTGCTGCTGTCATAGTAGAGCACGGATGTGGCGCTCAGCTTGGTGGGTGCGCAGCACGCCTTGGGGACAGCGTCAGGCTTCATCAGGTGCAACTGGTCAGGGAGGGCGGTGACAAAGGCATGAGTGCAACAGCCTCCTCTAAGGACCCTCCCAGCCCAGCCCAGCCCCCAGCTCCGCCTGCTCCCTGCACAGGCTCCGCACACCCCCTTCACACTCCATCCTCTCCTAGGGGCAGAGCTGGTGCCGATGGGCACAACTGACCCTAGAGCATCCCTCCCACTGCCCCTCAGGGCTCAGCCTGAGTCCCTGGCATGATGGTCCAGGTTCCACTGCTCCCCGGACCTCCTGGCCATACCCTGCCATGTCCACTCTCTTCAGACATGGAAAGTCCAGCTAACCCTGCACACCAGGCACCTGGTGCTGAGCCCTCTGCCTAGAGCCATCTCTGCAGCACCACTTCCTCTGGGCCCCTCCACTTCCTCCGACTCCGAACCCCTCAGCATGTCTTCTCGTTATTATCTGTGCAACATTCTGGACATGCAGGGTTCACCTCTCAAAGTATGTTCTGCCCTCGTGACAACTTCTGAGGTCAGTCCTGCTCTGTGCAGACAAGGAAACTGAGGTACAGAGGCCACAGGGCACGTCCAGGGTTGCAGGCCTATTTGACAGTGTGGCCAGAACGTGCCGCAGGTCAGTGATTGTTCTGACAGGCTCCAAAACGGCTTTTATCCACCAAGAAAGCGACTGAACAAGCAGGCCGTTTTCAGCCTACACAGAAATACTGACCCTGAGACTTGGCAGGATGAGCTGCCGTTTACAGGGACAATCCCCAAGACCAGCACCACCACCTACCCCTCAAGGACATGGAGATGGAAGCAACCTGCTACCATCGCTGTGTGGACCTCCAGCCCTCATAACAGCCTGGCCGCCCCGTCCCCTGGCCCCAGCTCTGAGCCAGCCAGCTGAGGAGGACTAGTCACTGAGCAGTGGGGTGGCCTTGGGACCTAGAAGCCTCTACAGGGATGTCACTCAGACTGGGACATCAGCCGCTGCGCCCAGCTTTCCAGCTCTCAGCATTATGGGCCATCTGAAGAGGCCAGGAGACACAGCCTCCACTGCCTGCCCCAGAGCTCTCAGGGTAGGGACTGAGGGGGGTCTCTACTGAACTGGGACACTTGAGGGAGAAGTCAGCACCATGGGACACTGCCATTCTGTGACTCCCCACTCGGAATCAGAGCTCCATCAGTGACAAAAAGAGAAGTGGCCCAAATAGACTGATGAAACTGATTAGTGAAGTCTATGTGTCATTCTGTCCCATTCATTTTTGAGTCAAGTGTGGGTGGTGCACCAGATCAAAAGCTCTGATCTTGATGGGCTGTGTGCATTCTTGGGTACAAAGTGCATAACTCAGTCCCTCAGTTTTCTCCTCTGACAAGTGGGTGTAGTGATACATTTGTTCTCATTTCCAACAGAACTGTTTCTCTGATGCTGGCCTTGTGTCAGCCCAGCCAGCGTGGAGAAGGGGAAAGTATCCCAGACAAAGGTGCTGCTCTCACAGCATCAGTGGGAAGTGATGGTGCACCAAGGGAAACATTTCAATCAACAGCCAAAACATAATGAAAGCAGACCTACAATGCTGCAAGAGCATGAGGTACCACCTCTGTCCAGGGCACGGCACAGAGGCAAGGCACACAGGACACAGGAAAAAGCCCCCCCCCCCCCAGGTGCAAAGGCAGGGGGGTGCAACAATGCAGCCCATCTGGACACCAGGAGTATGCCAAAAGACGAGGGTCCTGGGATGTGTTGCCATGTGGAGATTAGCCCAAGAGGTCTATCGGATGGCTAATGAGGAGCCACCTTTCCCAGACCAAGGGCTCCAACTTCCTCCTAGGGATGATGGGAAGCCAAGAATGATGTCAGATTTGGGCTTTAGGAAGATCCCGATGGCTGCTGTGCGGAGCCTGGGGTTACATGCTTTCTTTTTCCTCAGGATCCCCTAGTGGCTCCATTCCTTCCCACATCCCTGGCCTCTGCTCCTGGGTTCCTGTGACTCCCCTCTCTATCGCTTCAGTGCTCAGGAATTACAGGCCATCTGCATACTGCTGTCTCCCAGTTAATCTTGGGTCAAAGCAATAATTCACAGTTTTACACAATTCCCACGTGCCATACACTATACTAAGCTAAATACTGTTCTGCTAGAAATGTATAATTCTGTTTTTTACATGAATGTCCATGCATGCGTGTTGATTTAAAGATCTTTCAACGTATTGATGTCTCTAATACTTATAGCTTCAGCTTGAACCACTCCCCTCAATTCCAGACATCCAACCAACGTCACCCTTGAAGCTCTAACAGGACCTGCAACGGATCAAGGCTGTAGCAGAACTACACATTTCCTCAACCCCACCAATTATGCGGGCTGCACACCCAGAAGACACCCTGATCTCTTTACTCACACTCTCATCCGCTCCATGGGGGCATTGTTGATCTATCTCCATGGTCTATGCTGTCTTACCTCTTCTCACCACCCACCCAGCTACCCTGTCCAAGCTGCCACCATCTCTTGTCTGGTACTACAACAGTCTCCTCACTGGTCTCCCTGGCTGCTCCATCCTTGATCCCCTATGGTCCACTCTCCCCACAGGACTAGAGAGATACTTCTAGAGGATACGTCAGACCCTGACGCTCCTCTGCTGAAACACTCCAATGGCTTCTCAGGAAAAAATCCACCTCCTGACTGGAAACCACAGACCCTCAGTGACCTGGCCCTGCCCACCTCCAGCTTCACCTCTGTCTGCTCTCCCCTTCATTTAATCTATGACAGCCCCACCTCACTAACTGGCCCCAAGCCCACCAAGCTCCTTCCTGTTTTAGAGTTTTTGCACTTGTTCCGCCTACCTGGAACATTCTCCCGCCAGCTCTCCACATGCTCCTCCTCCCATAGTCTCCCTCTGCTGAGTGGCCTACCCTCCTCTTCCTTGCAGAAGGCATCAAGTCCCCTGTCTATGGTCCACTGACAGCAGCCCCAGTGAGCAGGGGCTATCTGCTGCTGCCCACCCAGTACACAGTGAGTGCTCACATCTGTGACTGAGGACTCGGGAAAGGCAGGGCAGTGGCAGTGTGGAGGGGATAGATTCTTGGGGGTACAGGTGGTCTCCCCTCAGGGGCCATGGAGACCACGTGGCACTACAACAGGGGGGCAGGGTTACTACACACAAGTCTTAAGATCACCCCCGAGCTTTCCCAAAGGAAGTCTGCTCCCGGGTGTCTGGTAAAGTCCATCTGATCATTGGGAAAATAAGCATGGTCATACCATCAAAGCTTCTGTGGTTGATTCATTTGTTCTCAGTTTGAGACATTACCTTTAAATAACCCGTGACTACAAAAACATAAGGCTCTGGGGTGCGAGGAGCTAGGAATGTAGGTAAGAAGTTCTAGAAAGACATTTCCACAGCAGAATCAACAGCACAGAAAGCACTTATCAATAAGCAGCTGTAACAATGCTCCGATTAGAACAACTAGGCATTGAAAGTTCCCTCTGGAAGCCGAGTGTCAGCAGGCACAGAGACTGTAGAAAATGTGGGCATCGAGGAAGGGAACGAGGGAAACACCAGCAGGGGAAGTAACTCAGGGTTGAGACCCTCAGCCCACAAGTGCCTCCGTGCCATGTCCTGGTGATCCCTGGGGTGTGGAGAGGCACACACACAACTCACACCAAGTGAACGTGTGTCTCATGGGGACAGCACACATTGGGATATGGGGACAGATGTGTGTTCAGATCACGAGTCCCAGGTGGGTGTGCACGTGTGTCACCTGTGTCTGCATTTGACCACGTAGAGGTGCACCCATGTGAGTCCATGTATGTCCCATGTGTGCCTGTGAGAACACAGACAAGTGTGGACTCAATGTGTCCGGGGTACACACAGACTCAGGAGGAATTTGTGTATGTGTGTGTGTGTGTGTGTGTGTTTTGTGGACTTAGTAAAGAAAACTCCCTGAGACACGGAGCAGCTGCTCTCGTCCCTCTGAGCCCCCTCCCCTCATGCTCTCCCCGGGGACACTGACCAGAGACTGCAGGATGGCATGGTTGGTGGCGTTCATGCAGGCGTCCAGCGGGAAGGAGCACTCCCCCTCACAGTAATAGGCCGAGTAGCCTCGGGGGGCGATGACCCAGTCCTGGGGGAGAGGAAAGGGCAGTCCAGCATGCGGCACCTCCTTAGCCCTGGGTCAGCATGTTCACAGGGCAACTCGGGCCCCCACCCCCCAAGCTCCTCAGTGGACAGGGCTGGGCACTGACCCCACTACACCCCGTCAGCGCTCTGTCGGCGCACCCCCATGCATCACTCACTCTGCCTCAGTTTCCCTGAGGACTTAGAATCTCCATTTTCATGAGTATTACAAAAACAAACAAACAAAAAAACTCTCTCATTGTAAAAGTCACACATCCTCACCTTAGAAAAGTTGTTAAATACTGAAGATAAAATATATAAAACAAGAAAACCACCCAAACGTGTACCTCCTCCCTGGAGATGTACTTAGGTGGGCTATCAGAAAGGGGGGAGGGAGGAGTTACCAGCCAGCCGAGGTCCTGGAAGCTGACATAGAGCTCATGCCGTCGGCACACCTGCCGCCTGTTGGAGCCGTGGATGTCATCTACAGGAACAGACAGTACAAGGTCTGTTCTGGGTCTGACTCTGTCCAGCTGCCACAGGGCTTTACCTGAGGGGCGGGAAGGGCCCTTAAGGGCGCATTGGTTGAACAAATGATGGGAATAGAAACCATTTGGTTTCATAAAACCCAACCCTGGAGCTCAGTTCATGTCACAACCCAGCTCAAGAGTCTTCCTTCAATGGCTCCCACTCTCAGCCTGTCTCCACCCCCATCAACAGTCAAACAGGACCCCTCGACCTGAGCAGGGAGGACAAGCACATCCTTTGTCCTCCAGGGACACTTCCTGGCCCACTTTCCTCCAACCACATCCATGCCACATGTGCAAGTACACTCAGCTGAGGTCAGCCAAGGGTGGTGTCCATGAAAGAAGGACCTAGGCAGGTCAAGCCTGTCCTGACTCAAGGGGCTTGCCCAGTGGTTTAGCCATCACATAAATGATTGCGAGAGCCCGCAGGGGCTGGACTGTAGGAAGAAGGCACCATTGACCCTAACCCAGGTCTGGGAACGGGCTCCTGGAGGAGCCAAGTAAGGCCAGAAAGTGGGACTTCCAGGTGGGAGGGGTGGCGAGTACAGAGGTTCAGAGCATGAGATGGGGGAGGGACCAGTCACTAGGGTGCCTGGGGCAAAGGCCTGGTGCCAGGAAAGGTGGCTAGGAGGAGACTGGGCACGTGTGCTGCCCTCAGTCTAGAGGTTCTTCCCCACCACCTGGCTCCTGCTCAGCCTCCCTGCGCAAACACTGCCGGGCCCCAGAGCCAGGCCAGCCCTAGACCTCACCAAAGATCCCCGGGAGCCTGTTGGTCTGTGGCAGCTCGTTGGTTTTCTTCAGCAGCCTCCTCTTCAGCGGCCTCACCGCTCGTGAGGTTCGGATGGGGCTGGGGCTGGCCCTGAAGAAAGTGACCACGAAGGGCTGTTTGGGGCGCGGTGCATGGCGCCCTAGCAGACCAGCCAGTCCAGGGTCCACACTGTGTCCTGAAACAGAAAGGACAGAGAGTGGTCACTGAGGGCACGGCAGGGACCTCTAATGAAGTCTGGGCAGGTCCAGGAGCATAGAAGCTAAGGCCTGAGGGCACCCACTGGCCTCCAGGTGCTCGTCTGAAGATGAGTCCCAAGGTCAGCCCAGCTCCCTGCAGGCAGGTCTGAGGGAGGAGGAAGGTGAAACACAATCCTTGAGGACCACAAATGAGTGATGACCAGGAAACTGACATCTGCCATGTTTTTCAAGTTTCAAAATTGTTTCACACCCCCGTCTCACTCTGTCTTTACGTATTTCTTGTTTTCCAGAAGAAATTTCAGAGTCCCAGCCAGGGACCCTCAGCATCAGGGTCCTCAGACTGAGGACTCCATCATTAGCACTGGGAATGGAAAGACACCACCAACAAAACCACCTTCCTGCCCTCTTTTTTTTTTTTTTTAATTGTAGAAACAATATTATAATCACAGTAAGAACAGTTTTGAGAAAATGGTATCACTCCTAAGGCTTTTCCCCCACTCCAACACATTCATTTTCATATTTCTTGGTTGATTTTGATTCTTTACACAATTGTAAGCACAACAAATAAGTTTACATCCACTCCCCTCTCACTTTTTCACATAAGGAGTCCTGATTGTACTGTGGGTTAAGCACTGGACTGCTAACCACAAGGTCGGCGGTTCAATCCACCAATTACTCCTCTGGAGCAAAATGAAGCTGATAGCCCCAGTAAAGATTTGCCATCTTGGAAACCCTTATATAAATAGAGTCATGACGAGCTGGAATCAGGTTGATGGCACTGGGTTTTTTGGTAACTTTTTCACATAAATATTTTCCTGCTTGTCAAAATTGATGTTAAATGTTGTCAAGTCAGTTCTGACTCATAACAACCCTGTATAGGGTTTCCAAAGAGCTGCTGTTGGGTTTGAACTGCCAAATAAACATTTCAATACAGAAAATTACTTTGAGTCAACATGCTATACATTCATTATTCAGACTTTTATGTCACTTCCTGGCTTTCATTATAAAGACAAAAATGAAATCAGTCTCTTCTTTTTCTGTGAAATTTTCTTATGCAAATTTAAAGGAGCAAGATTACTAGCCTATTTTTATATCTCTTAAAACATATTATCAAGCCAATAAGATGGTGGACTAGACAGACGTGTTTACACAGACCCTCTACAACAAAGATATGGGAGACCAAGTGAAACAGACACAGAGGATAACCCTGAACTCTGAGCTTCAGAGGAAAGCTCCATCTACTGGACAATAGCCTACACCAGCTCTTATGCCACCTAATCATGGACAAACACCAGTTACCACCAGCCAAACCCATCCTAAACTAAACTTCATGACCAATGAATGAGTGGGAAATAGTACACATGCTTCCAATTTCTAATCAAACCCACTAGAAGACAGTTGGTGAGGACCTAAGAACACACCAATAGTACAATCATCAATTCAATACACCACCACCACAATGTCAATGAGACAACAGATCATTTTAGTTCACATGAACAAACAAGAGAGTGATTCAAACAAATGACCAAGATGCAGAGCTAGAAAAGTTTCTGAGGAAGAAAATGGAACTATCAGAGAAAGAATTAAAAATAATGATATTTAGGTACCTTCAAAAGATTGAAATCAAGTAGAACACAGAAAAAAACTTAAGAAGAATTTAAGGAAAACACTACAAGAACAAATAGTCAATTCAAATTTTCAAATAATACAAAGTCTACAAATAGAGATCCAAAAGATTAATACTAAGACCTCAGAAATGGAGAATACAATGAAAAGGCAAAGAAGTAGATTAGAATTAATGGAAACCCAAATTAGTGACCTTGAAGAAAGATCTATCAATACTAGTAAAATAGAAAAACAATAGAAAAAATAATGAAAAATTCAGAAGAAAGTCTGAGATTTATGTAGGACACCGTGAAGAGGAATAGGAATAATTTATGGGTGATCAGAATTTCAGAACAGGAAGAGACAATAAAAAACTTGGAGAAAATTGTCAAAGAGTTGCTGGAAAAAAACTTCCTTAACAACATGAAAGATGAGAAGACAACCTCAAGAAGCTTAAAGAACCCCAAACAGGATACAGTCCCAAAGAAAATCACCAAGACATAATCAAATTTTCCAAAACCAAAGACAAGGAAAGAATCAGGAAAAAATGAAAAGTTACCTACAAAGAGGAACCCAGAAGACTAAGCTCTAATTTCTCAGCAGAAACCATGCAGGCAAGAAAGCAATAGGATGACATATCCCAAACTCTGGGGAAAAATTGCCAACCCCAAATCATATACTCAGCAAAACTGTCTCTCAAATATGACAGGGAAGTTAAAACATTTTCAGATAAAAATTAAAGACATTTATAATAACAAGACTAACTTTGCAAAAAGTACTAAAGGGTATTCTTTACCTTTAGTACTCTGAGATCTAGCAAAACAGACAAAACCTTAGATTACGATACATGACACCACCACCCAGAATGCAAACTAGATATAGAAGTATCCAAAGTAAAACAAACCCACAAGACTGAAAATAGGAAACCAGAGATACCGATTTATGATGAAGTTAACTACAGAGCAAAACCATGGAATAGTGTAGATGCAGAACATTCAAATGGCAAGGAAATCAAGTAGATTTTTAGATAAAGCAGACTGTTTTAAACTAGGAAAAAATCAATAATTACAGGGTAACCTAAAAGAAAATTAATACATCTTCATATCAAAATTAAAAGGAAAATCAGAAAGATTTAGTAAACATTAAAACAACAGTAATGCAGAAAATGTAAAGAAAACCCACGAACAAAATTAATTCAGTACAGAATTCAGAAATTTATATGGAACAAAGAAACTAGAAACACCACTGCAAAAACCATGTAGAGACCATATCTGAACTCCCCTGGCTTCACTAGGGGGAAAGAGAATCAAGCTCAAAATCAGCCCAAGGCTGATTCCTATGAAGTGAAGGTCAGACATGCTTCTACCCTACAACCTTCTTTACCCTATTCTGACACTAACCATTCCTCCCACAGCACTCTCTGCTTCACATCTGGTTTCAATAATCCATTGCAGTGGCCATACACAACTCATAACAAAACTCATAATTATGGGGTTTATCAGGGAAGTGAACAGGGTACAATTCAGGATCAAAACCAACTCAGGACGCAGCAGTTCTCTAGTCAGGAACTCCTCTTGTCTGCCATTCTACAGGCACGCCTCACTTTTGTTTTCAGCCTCTCAACCACGTGGTCCCTTGGCCTCTACCCTGCTCCAGCACGTGTTACAAAGTTCTTTGAGCCAGTCTGTGAATGCCCAAAGGGCCCATTCTCCAAGCCAGTCTCCTGTCCATAGGCACTCAGCTTTACTCAGTCCATAGGCCTAGAGCCTGAAGCTGCTCTGTCTCTCCATATCACCACCTCTGCTGTGGTCTCTGCCATCACCATTTCTCTAGGTAGGGCTCTCACACGTCACTCATGCGCTTCCTTTTTGACCGTCCTGGGACCTTCCTTCTCTGCTTCTGAGATGGCTCCTTTTAAGCCTAGATAGAGGGCAACACTAACCAATCCCAACCTTAGAGTCCTTATACCTTATTTGCATGGTCCCACGCAATTACTTGGTGGGAATTAAGAAGACTTTGGATAGAAAAGCCACATCAAGTAAATTCATGGCACCACAATCACACACACACACACAAAAAAAAACCCCAGCAAGATGACAGCAAAAAAATCATAACTATTGATAATCACACTGAAAGTAAATAGATTAAATGCATCTGTCAAGAGACAGAGATTAGCAGAATGGATAAGAAAACAGGATCCTGGCATGTACTGTCTACAAAACACACACCTTACACACAAAGACAAAAATGAACTAAAAATCAGAGAATGGGGGAAAAAATCTCAAACTAATAACAATAAAAAATGAGCAGGAGTGGCAATATTAATCTCTGATAAAATAGACATTAAGGCAAAAACCAGCATGATGGACAAAGAAGGACATTTATCAAGATTAAAGCGTCAATTGAACAGGAGGACATACCATAATAAATATCTTTGATTCCAATGAAAGAGCCTCAAAATACATAAATCAAACTCTGATAGAACTGAAGAAAGACAGCGACAACTCTACAATAACAGTAGGAAATTTCAATACACCACTTTGGATGAAGGACAGCACAACTGGAAAAAAACTCAACAAAGACGCAAAAGCACTAAACAACATAATCAACCAACTTAACCTCATAGGTATCTACAGAACATTCAACCCAACAACAGCACAACGTACATTCTTTTCCAGTGCATATGGAGCAATCTCCAGGATAGACTATAGGTTAGGTCACACAGCAAATCTCAATAAACTTTAAAACATCAAAATACTATAAAGCATCTTCTCTGATCACAATGCTATAAAATTAGAAATCAACAACAGGAAAATCAAGGGAAAAAATCAAATACGTGGAAATTGACTAACACTACTTAAATACTGTAGACAACTGTCTGGCCAACTGATTGGAAGAGATCAATGTTTGTGCCCATTCCAAAGAGAGGTGACCCAACGGAATGCGGAAATCATCGGACAATCTCTTTGATATCTCA